TGACCCGTGAGTACAGTAAACATGCAAGAAGCTTCTGTTGGATCCGGCGCTTTACAGAACAGATTGTCCCCTCGGGAGAAAGTAGATAACACTGGTAGACATAAGGGAAGCATAAGAAACCAGTTGAAATGACTCGCAAGCAGGCCTGTGGTGGTCAGAAACATTTAGACAGGTAATCAGTGGGAGGAATCTGAGCAAGGTCTCACCCTTTAGTCTTCACCAAAGACTTCATACTGGAGACAGACGCTGTAGGTGCACTGAACGCGTATTGAATGTGAGCGAGTCTCCAGTCCGCGTTAGAAACTGCATGTTGTACACAACTCCTCCTCTCCAGAGCTGCCCGTTCACCACAGAGAAGCTTTCGTCTGTTGTCCTCTTTTCTTCCCAGACACGTAAGACATAACGAGTCCCAGTCATCGTGTGACTTGGATCACTCAGGAACCTTGATTGAAAACCTTTATTTATTTATTTTAAGTATTTAATTTTTTTTCTGGTGAAAATATACCCGGAAAAACCTCCCATTCAAAAGGCTCTTGACGTAATGATCACTGACACTGATTACATTGTTCACACTGTGTCAGCACTCTCCTTATTTCTTTTCTAGTTTTTTACTTCTCTTGATACAAACTCTCAACCTGCTGGCTTTCCCATCTCTGCTTTAAAGCAGATGTTGCCCATTTGCTCTTATATACATAATTTTTTAAAAGAACCCAATACTCAGGGATAACAATCTTTACTTAGCTTAAAGGTGACTTCAAGGGATAGCATCAGTTCAAGGCATGAACAGTAACTCGGGGAAGTAGTCTCAAGGATTCCTTCAGTCTGAGTGGATCTGTTAAGTTTGAATTCTTTAAGAATTTTAAGTTCTATTCTACATTTTCCTCCCTTGCTATCAGGACCCATCTACTATGTTCCTGATCAGAATGGCCAGTAGAATAGCTAGGCACCATCTAGTTCTCTTGCTCTCAAGGTAGAGGAGGCAGTGGTTCTTGTGGACAGTTAGTCCTATAGTACAGTGCTTTCTCTGATTCTTGAGTTTCTTTTCTCTTTTGTTCCAGATGGATAGAGAACAGTAATTGTATCTTAGATGGCCACACACAAGCTTTTAAAACCCCAGCTATTACTTACTGCATTGGGAAATAGAACATAATCTTTAAGATAACACCAGTTGACTGGACTGTCCCACGAGCATAGTTAAGATTGTGATATGGAATGACTCTTTGGCAGTGTGTGAACATAACCCATGCCTGAGGCACTTGACTACTAACCAGAAGGCTGGCGGTTCAAACCCACCAGCCACTTCTCGGAAGGAAGGTTGGGCAATCTACTTCCATAGTGATACTGCCTCGGAAACCCAAGGAGGGGTTGCTATGAGTCGGGCCCCGACTCAACGGCACATAACAACAACAACATATGGGTTCATGAGCATAGTGTGATCAAGAATGTTTGTACCATTCCAGAGCTTGGTGACTGCTGGGGATGTGGCTGCACACTTCTCCCAGCAGAAGAATTTCTGTAAGAATGGGATGTGGCAGAAACACAGTGACCTGGGCTCAGTAGGTAAGGATGTGGCTGCTCCCAGATCTGAACGTACCTTCAGGGGCCCTCATTATCCTGCCTCACTTTTCAGTTATGAGGGATGGTGAAGGGAAGAATGGGGGGTCTTCTGAAGAGCTTGGCTCAGTTTGTGTTTGCACTTCCCAGGATAACAGTTTGACATTTGTAATGTGAAAGGTGGTAACTCTGTATGGAGTCCCTGGGTGGTACAGATGGTTAACAAGTTCAGCTGCTAACCCAAAGATTGGAGGTTCAAGTCCATCAAGAGGTGCCCCAAAAGAAAGGCCTGTATATATACATATGAAAAATTAGCCATTGAACATCCCATGGAGAGTTCTACTCTGACACACATGGGGTCATCATGAATCGGAGTCAACTCCATGGCGGCTGATACTGGTTCACTCTGTTATGCTTGAAACACCGTCTTTTGTGTCTCTCAGATATTCGTCACTCTTCTTTCTTCTTCTTCCTATAATCACTTTTCTTCCAAAACCCAAGAACTGCTTCTTGATTTGGATTGCTAATAATATAACCAAACGCCATCTCTTTCCCTAGATGTAGGATGTATTGTTTCGAAACCAGATTTGGTCTCCTTACTGGAGCAGAGGACAGAGCCCTGGGTGGTAAAGAGAGAGTTGACAAGAGACCTGTTCTCAGGTGAGTGCAGGAAGCTGTGGAAAAGTCATGCAGGTTAGAATTAAGCTTTCCTCAGGGGTTGAGTCCTGACTAATGTGTGTGGGATGCACCTGTTACCAAGTCATCCAGGTCTGCAGAGAAACCTGAAGGCTCTTAGTTTGGGCTTCCAAAAGTCTTCTCTTCCTGTCTTTGCCCTCTTCTCTCATGGCAATTCACTTCCCCTAGGTCTCTGTATGACTCCTCACAATCTGGGGTCTTCGTATATCCATTATAGACAGCATGTGTATCTATAGTAGCTTTTAGAGCTAAATTATGTACGTAGAAAGGAGCTCTGGTGGTGCTGTGGTTAAAGCTTTGGGCTGCTGGCCAAATGTCAGCAGTTAAAACCCACCAGCCACTCCATGGGAGAAAGATGAGGCAACCTCCTTCAGTAAAGACTTTGAGCCTTGGAAATTCCACAGGGCAGTTCTGCTGTGTCCTGTAGGGTTGCTGTGAGTCAGAGTCAGCTTGATGGCAGTGGGTTGGTTTTGGTATGTGTGTGGTATTTTTTGTATTCACTAACTTCCCTTGGAGGTGATTCTTTCATCCTAGCACATAAAAAAGGGAAATATTTATTTTTTGATACCTTTCAGGCCAGCAATTTGAACATGAGACCGAGGAATTCTTTCCAAATCAGGACACATATGACAAAATAGTAATGGACAGAGTTTCAGATGCTAACCTTGAGTGTTCCATTTCCCGAGAAAAGTGGGATTCTGATGGCTTGTTTGAAAGGAAACTCATAGGTCAGGAGACACAATTCAGGCAAGAGATCATCACTCACAACAAAGCCCACTCTAAGGAAAAAGACCGGACATATGCCAGATCTGGACAGTGGTTCCATTTGGACAGTTTAGAAGACAGAGTTTGTGATCTTGATTTGGTTAAGAAGGGGTTCCCAAAAAACTCAGTGGTGGTAAAACACACAGGAATCTATGCAGGAAAAAAACTCTTCAATTGTAACGAATGCAAGAAAACTTTTACTCAGAGCTCATCACTTACAGTTCATCAGAGAATTCATACTGGAGAGAAGCCCTATAAATGTAATGAGTGTGGAAAAGCCTTCAGTGATGGCTCGTCCTTTGCACGACATCAGAGGTGTCACACCGGCAACAAGCCCTATGAATGCATTGAATGTGGGAAAGCCTTCATACAGAACACATCCCTTATCCGCCACTGGAGGTATTATCATACTGGGGAAAAGCCCTTTGATTGCATTGACTGTGGGAAAGCTTTCAGTGACCACATCGGGCTGAGTCAGCATAGAAGGATTCATACTGGAGAGAAACCCTACAAATGTGAGGTATGTGACAAATCCTTTAGGTATGGCTCCTCCCTTACTGTCCATCAAAGGATTCATACTGGAGAAAAACCATATGAGTGTGACGTTTGTAGAAAAGCCTTCAGCCATCATGCGTCACTTACTCAACATCAGAGAGTGCACTCTGGAGAAAAGCCTTTTAAGTGTCAAGAGTGTGGGAAAGCTTTTCGGCAGAATATACACCTGGCTAGCCACTTGAGGATTCACACTGGAGAGAAACCCTTTGAATGTGGAGAATGTGGAAAATCCTTCAGCATCAGCTCGCAGCTTGCCACCCACCAGAGAATTCATACTGGGGAGAAGCCCTATGAATGTAAGGTGTGTAGTAAAGCATTCACCCAGAAGGCTCACCTTGCCCAGCATCAGAAAACCCATACAGGAGAGAAGCCCTATGAATGTAAGGAATGTGGCAAAGCCTTCAGCCAGACCACACACCTTATTCAGCATCAGAGGGTTCATACTGGAGAGAAGCCCTATAAGTGTGTCGAATGTGGGAAGGCCTTTGGTGACAACTCCTCCTGTACTCAGCACCAGAGACTTCACACCGGCCAGAGACCTTATGAATGTATTGAGTGTGGGAAGGCATTCAAGACAAAGTCATCACTGATTTGTCATCGCAGAAGTCACACTGGAGAAAAACCTTATGAATGCAGTGCATGTGGCAAAGCCTTTAGTCATCGTCAATCCCTTAGTGTACACCAGAGAATTCATTCTGGAAAGAAACCCTATGAGTGTAAGGAATGCAGAAAAACCTTCATCCAAATTGGACACTTGAATCAGCACAAAAGAGTTCATACTGGAGAGAGACCCTATAACTATAAGAGGAGTAGGAAAGTCTATCGGCAGACTGCACCATTTGCTCATTATCAGAGAATTCACACTGGAGAGTCAACACCACACTCCTCTTTACCTCCCTCATCAAGCCACATGGATCTTTTCCCTAAATTTCTCTGGAGTCCATCCTCATTGTCATCACCATAGTCTCAGGGCATTGTCACTTCACCCGGACTACACCAATAGTTTGAAAACCAATGTCCCTGCCCTTTCTGTTTTGTTTTGTTTTTGCCTGTCACAAGCTTATGCTTCACTTTGCAGTCAGAGTGATTTTTTGTGATTGTTTGACTCACATAAAACTTGTGTTAGGATCATGCAAATTGGTTAATGCATACAATGTGCTTAACACAGTGTCTGGGCCATGCTCAGTAGTCGATATGTTTGCTTTTTCAGAAACATTATTTTTGGACATTGTAGAGTTATCATCATCTACTCAGTGTAGAAATGATGCACACAGCAAGGCTAGGAGAACCCAGGTCATAGGACAGGAACAGGTGTTCTCAGGTGGGTTAATGAGGGTTAGCCTCTGTGAGTTTGAAACTGATTCCATGGTACTGCATTAGTACTATGGCTTTTTATCTTAAACAGATGATCGTAAGCTGATGTGACCTGTTGGTGAGAAAATTAACGTTACTGTATATCTGACAACAGTCTTAGAAAATACCTAGAAAACATGGGTGAATAAACCACCTGGAACACAGAACTAAATCAAAAGAATGCAAGATTTATGTGCACTGTGTTAGAAGTACTGACATGTTACTCAAGAATTACAAGAGAGGAGTCTTACCCATTTAAGGTCACAATGGGTTTATGACTGAATGCTGTTAAACCTTCAAGGGGCCATTAAATCAAAGGTCAACTGATCTAGAGTGGAGATCAGCCAGCTATGACTTGTGGCCAGATTTCTACTTGCTCTTTTGTACAGGACTCTCTGGATGGTACAGACAGTTAATGTGCTCAGCTGCTGACTGAAAGGTTAGAGGTTCAAGTCCACCAGAGGCACTGTAGTAGGCAAGCCTGGGAATATGTTTTGAAACATCACCAACTGAAAACCCTGTGGAGCAGAGTCCTACTCTGACACATTGGGTCACCATGAATCAAAACTGACTTGACAGCAGGTTGGTTGGTTGGTTTTTGTATGGCCCATGAGCTAAGCATGATGTTCTGTGCATTTTTAAATGGTTGATAAAAACGAATATTTTATGACAACATGAAAATTACATGTGATTAAAGTATCCGTGTTCCTGAATAAACTTATTGGAACATAACCATGCTCGTTTGTTTGCATGTTTTCTGTGGCTCCTCCCAGAAAGCTACAGCAGCAACACTGAGTAGCTGGGATGGAGACTGGCCCACAAAACTGAAAAATACTGACATCTGGCCCTTTCTGGAAATGTTTGCCAATCCCTGCAATAGAGCAGAGGCCAGCGAACTGCAGACTGTTGGTCATGTCCAATCTGCTGCCTATTTTTGTGAATAAAGTTGTATTGGACTACAGCCATGTTAATTTGTTTATGTATTGACCGTGGCTACTCTGGCAGTCCAGTGACAGAGATGAGTAGCTGGAGCAGAGGCCATATGGCATACAAAACCTGAACTATTTACTGTCTGTCCTTTACAGAAAAAGTTTGCTGACCACTGTTCTAGGGTAGAGCAAAGTGTTCAAGAAGTTCTGGTTCTTCCTATGAAGGCATTACAACCCTGACATCTAAAACAAGGAAGCAGATTGTAAAGCAATTTACTGATTAGCAGAGGTGAAAGGAAACTATTAAACTATATTGGAAAATTGAAAATACTACAGTCCCCTCTTATCTTTGGTTTTGTTTTCCATGGTTTCAGTTAGCCACAGTCCGCTGCGCTCCAGAAATACTTAAATTGTGCAGTTCAGTGAAGTCCCGTGCTGTCCCACTCTGTCCCAGAGCCAGCTTTCTCCTCTTCCCCTGTCTGCAGGTCTGCAAAACACAGCAGGGTGAGCAACTGCACTGCGTGCCCTGCCAGTATCTGATGAGTTACCACTGCCCACCTGGGGCTCCCCGGGTACCTATCATATGTACGTATAGGAAAAAAACAGAGTATATATAGGACTTAGTACTATCCATGGTTTCAGGCATCCACTGAGGTTCTTGGAATGCATCTCCTGCAGATAAAAGGAGATGACTGTTTCTCTAGACGAAGGGCTCTGCTGTTAAAATGTTTGTAAATTATAATCCCAAACAATCCTGGTAGGATATGTTTACCTTGACCACTTTATTTGAAACAACATGAGGAAGGGTAATTAGGCAAGAGAAGCAAGAAGATTTTTTAAATACATTCATTTGCATGTGAGATTTTAGTATACAATAAAACTGATCTTGCAGTATTGAGGAAGTGATGTCTTGAGAACTGGTTGTCCGCCTCGATAAAACGAGTTAGGATGCATACTTCAGACGTTACAGGAGAACATAACAATGGAAGGAAGGTTGGGCAATCTACTTCCGTGGTGATACCACCTTGGAAACCCAAGGAGGGGTTTCTATAAGTCGGGTCCAACTCTACAGCACACAACAACATAACAATTACATGTTAGAGGCAAACATGGAAAAGAGGAAGGCTTTATGAAGCAGGACATGGAATCCTAAAAGTCCACAGTGGAAGAGAGTAAGTCAGCCTGTGTAAAGATTAAACTTCTGCCTTGTGAAAAGCACCAAAAAGAGTTAAAACACAGTTGACCCAAAATGTATGTAATGTATATACAATGGTGTCAGTTACAAAGAAAGTGTTATTAAATGTACAAAGCAGTGGAGAAAAAAAGTACCAGCAGGCATTGCACAATTGAAGAATTCAAATATGTTTTTTTTTAAAATCTGTGACATTCTTCACTAATCAGAAAAATGTAAATTAGAACAAGTTTTCTTGGTTCTCAGTTTAAATAAAATCTGAAATTTATAATATCCGGGGCTGTTAGCTCTGAGAAAACGTACTTGTTTATCATTGGCAGTTAAATCTGTGTCTTATCTTTTTGGACTTGGAAGGATTCAAGAGATTATAATGCTGGGTTGAATCCTTTTTTTCCATGCCCCTCACTCATCTTCTGCAGGGTCCCCTAATGGCCCAGTAGCCTTTCCATTTCTTTGACATGAAAGAACTAGCATCTCTAAGGCTTTCTTCATTGCTTCTCCTACAGGTACTGAGACTTCTCCTGAGGGGGATTGTGTTTGGAAAGTCTTTCTGATCTCTGTAGTCAACTATGGCATAGGTAGCAGCAGCTGAAATATGGGGCAGCAGTTAACCATACAGGAGCTCTGGTGGCATAGTGCCTAAGGCATTTGACTGATCACCAGAAGGCTGGTGGTTCAAACCCATCAGCCACTCCTCGGAAGATTGAGCAATCTACTTCCATAGAGATTCTGTCTCAGAAACCCAAGGAGGGGTTGCTATGAGTCAGGTCCGACTTGACAGCAGTGAGTGAGTCAGTCATACGAAGAAAATGAAACTGGTCCTAGTAAACCTCAAACCAGAATGTTCTGAGATGCTGATACTTCACTGTATTAAATAATAAACCCCAAGGGCTGAAATCTCACTAAGATCTTGTTGTAACTAAGAACACTCCATGGCATGGCACCAAGTCCCACATTGACTTGAATCACTGGAAACAGGACTGAGTACTGTTGAATGACTGTTCATTTCAAACACTGAACATTTCCAAAGGACTTAATTCCTAAAGGACCTGCATTTATGCAGAGAGAGGGCTTACGATGTCACTCTTGCCCAAAGGTTGCTTACAGCAGGCTCAGGGGGACCACAAACCCTAGCTGGTTCTTTTCCCAGGTCCCAGGTGTGTGTGTGTTAGCAATATCTATGCTTATGACAAGATGCTCACCAGATATTCATGCTTCCCTCTCTGTTGTCTGGAATTGATTCTGCCGCGTGGCTGCCCAGCCACAAACTATATTCAGTTGTGGCTATTGGACTATCCTTCAATAGGGTGTGAATAGAGTGATGGGTGTCATGTGGGGCTAGTTATTCAGAAGGAGATGTACTGTCCAGCTGCAAGAAGAACCATCATAATCATATTAGATGCCTCACCTGCAAGATGAAAGGACTCAGTCCCTGCACCAGTATTTTGAGGAATGCCTGCAGTCACCCAGAGACATCAGCAATCGATTTTTATGTGAGTGAGAAATAAACATCTATCGTGTTGCAAAAAAAGGTGTGGAGGTGGCATCTTCTGACCTCCTCTAACTTCACAAGAGGGAGAATCACCATCAGCAGCCCAAGGCATATTCCTGTGAGGCCAGGCAGGCCACTACCCTCCAAACCTTTATACCAATTCTGACGCCAACCATCCCTCGCATGGCACTCACTTCTCTGCTGGGTTCGATCATTTGTTGCAGTGGCCACACAGAACTTACAGACAGTACTCACAATTGTGGGGCTTATTAGGGAAGTACCAGGTTACAGCTCAGGTTCAGGAATGTGCACAGGATACAGTTCTTCGATCTGAACGGTCTTAAACTCTGCTAGGCCCTCAGGTAAGCCTCTCTGGCCCTTGGCCTCTCCGCCTGGCCTCTGCCCTCCTCAGGCAAGTGTTACAAAGCTCTTTTAGCTCTGCCAGTAGGTACACCCACCACCCACCAGCCACTCCTCGGAAGGAAGGTTGGGCGATCTGCTTCCATAATGGTCCGCCTCGGAAACCCAAGGCAGGGTCAGTATGAATCGGATCCGACTCGAGGGCAGTGAGTTTGGTTTGGTTATGAATAGGTACACCTCTGTGCACCCCACTCTGCCAGCAAGCCTCCTGCCCAAAGACACTCAGCTTTCTCACTTCCTGGGCCAGTAAGGCCTCTGCTCTGTCTCATGCCTCTTGGTAGCACTGCCACCTCTCTCAGCTGGGCATCTAGCAGGAATCTCTGCTGAGGAGGCCCAGCTCAGGGATCTCGGGTCCAAGGACGTGCTTCGCTTCACCCCCAGCTCTTCTCTTTTGATGGCAGTGAGACCCCCTCTTCTGCCTCT